ATCAGCTGTTTTTCATAAATCAGGCACAGGTATTTTAATCTGCGGGAGAAAAATGTAATTTATGTCTAGAATTGTTCTAGTTTTCGTTCTCATTCTTGTTTTGTCTTGTATCCTACCCTTTGCTACCAGCTCTTCGTTGGTAACATAGACTATGATAGACAATCTATTTAAGAGCGGAAAAGAAACTAGTCAGCTTATGACCCGCCTCACCAAGACCTCCACAAGTATGTCAGTGAATGCAGAAAATACCAACAGAATAACTAGCAACGCCAACAGAAACAGAACTGATATCAAAATAAAAAGGAGAAACTGGGAACTGCTAAAGTTTACAATTTTCATGGATCGATTTGCATTGTTTAATGAAATCCTGATCATACCCTTTTTGCTAAAGTACAGGGTGACCCCCCCCCCCCCAAAAAAAAAAAAAAAAAAAAAAAAAAAAAAAAAAAAAAAAAAAAAAAAAACCAAAAAAAAACTGCACAACTTTTTTTGCTAATATTTTCCTCCACACTAAAGTTTTGTGCTTCAAATTTGAACATAACATTCGGAAGTCAAAAGGAATTTGTCTGATATTCTTTTCAGAAAAATCCACTCCATAGTTTTTCTGTACACATCGGGTAAAAAAAGACAACCCATTTTCTGCTATGTCCCAATTTTTGTAGCATGACGCACTAGTTCGCATTAGGCCTACCTCTAAAAATCCCAACGATTGAGCAATAATGCATACTTCAGTGGTCTAACAGAACGACAGAAGTTTGCAGATAGTTTTTCTCAAGTTTCCTTTGCCTGCCGAGATCATAGTTAAGATAAGTTAAGAGAGCTTTTTGTATTGAACATTTCCTCACCACCATCTCATTTCGTAAGTTTTGCGCAAGGTACGGAAATAATGTTAAAGTATGTTAAAGTGCCCTATAGGCCTTCTTTAATGTCAAGGGTGGAAATTGTCCATTAGTTATTACCAGTAGAGAATTAGAACTAAAAATTCCGGTGAACATTTCCTCTGTGACATGTGTTCCTTGGCAAAGCCCATATTCACCTTTCAGGTTATATCAACTCCACAAATGCTGTCTATTTGGGCAACCTCACCACCTACCTTTATTGTTTCTAGAAACAGCTCCATAGAGTAAGGTGTACAGTGTGTGTGGCTTTGATGTCTCATTGTTGAGGGAATCCTTGTGTTTGACCACCATTAAACATTACGAACGACGCATTGAAATGTGTCTAGTCCAAAGGAGGAAATATACCATTGGTTCTTGAATTCCAGAATTTAAATAATATGTTTAAACTCTATAGCAGAAAAGAAATATTGTTTAAAGGTTACAGGGATGAAAAGATTAGATTTTAAAAATAAAAGGAAAGGAAAAAACAAACCAATCATTTCATGACTTTCCTTACAAGATCTTTTAAATTAGTGCATTTTGCATTTACAAGTGGTTTTTATAGAAGCCATATCCATTTTCAAAAATATTTTTCTTCTTTGTGAATTTTATATCAAACAGATTCCTTTTGGATGAATTATATCTATTCCTAATTACAACTTTCTATTACCAATTTTGCGCTAAACATATAGAAAAATGTACATTTTTTTAAATCACACTCCCTCAACAAATCAAAGAACACTATGGTTCTCTTTGAGTCAAGTATGTCTTTTTGTAGACTAAAGAAACGTTGGCAAGAACCACAGAAATTCAGATATCGAATTAGAAATAAATACCGAAATTGTTAAAAGAATTCAGCGAGATAGTGGTTCTTATAGTGACCGCCTGTCCACCGTGAAAAGCGGCAAGCTGAAATAGTTTGAACACGTCGCATGTCCTTGTGGACTATCAAAGACAGTGTTGCAAGGCACAGTACATGGAGGAATACGTTAAAGTGACGTCTCAGAGTGGATGGACCTGGAAATATGAGATTATCAGCAAGTCTAACAGTTAAAAAGAAGTAAGATAAGGTCAGAAGAAAGCCGTCCATGGCACTCCAACGATCCACATACTTTGGGTCTAACAATAATAATGATATGATGATGTTTTCTAGGAATATTTATAAGCAGAACAGATATCACCCTTAGCATTACCACCAATGTAAGAAATCTCGCATAAGTACTTGGAAGAACTTCAACCTACAAAGTAAAAAATAAACTAAGAAATCTAAGCCTGAATGCAAAAGTTTACAGCAACAAGCGAACCGTTCCTCTAAACCCGTACTGCAGCCTAGGGGAAGTAATTAACCAAGCTTATAAACAGCATCTTTGTTCTAACCTTGCATATCAGTTCACCCAGTTTTCATAAAGACTGATATCTCTTCCTCTTCTTCCCTTTCACAGGTGTGGTGTAACCTGGAAAGAAGAGAGTCTGTTATACAAGCTATCAGATCCGGTGTCCATAGTCTAGGGCCGTATAGGTAAGGCTTTGAAATAGTGCGCAGGCCTCCGAAACGCAAGACGAAGTACACACAACAGCATAATGAAAACGCACACACACACACACACACACACACACACATA